TCGGGTTGCAGGAACCCCCCGGCTCCCAGGGGCCCCATGGGCCCTTCGTAATAAACCACGCCAGGGGGCCCCGGGGGCCCCACGGCATCTCGGGGGTACGCGGAATTATTTGGGGGCCCCCCGGGATGTTGAGGCCCACGAGGTAAGGGGGGGTAGGGACCCCCCAACACAATGCCTCGAGAAGCAGAGCCGCCAGAGCTGTACGCTACAGCTACCTGTGCTTGGGGAGTAGGAGCGCCTACTACCGGGGCTACGGGCTGGGGCTGAGGCTGACGAGGAGACGAAGACGAAGAAGGAGAGAGAGAAGAAGAAGAAGAAGCTGCTGCTGCTGTTGATGAGGCTGGGGACGAGAGGCTCCGTCCACAGAGCCTCTTAGCAGCGAGACGCCGATAAGAAGGGCCCCCTAAAGAGCCGTAGGGTTCAGATTGGGGGCTCCCAGTAAGAACGAAGTAGCACTTAAGTACTAACATCACCAAAGCAACAGAAGCAGTTGTTATAAGAGCGAGAAGCAGCCGTCGCTGCTGCTGCCGCATCCGCTGCTGCTGACGGTGCTCCCGCCGCTGCTGCTGCAGCAGGCTGCCCTTCAAAGGGCCTACTGCTGCTCCCCCGTACTCCATCCACGAACCTCTCCCGCCCTCTCTCCATGCGTGGGGTCCTGGATACGACGTCTCCCTGCCGATCCCCCGATCCCCTAACCCCTCCGCAGCTCCTCCATAGCCCCTGGAGACGCACACGAGGGCCAGGAAGACAGCGAGGAGACGCATCGTTTAACCACATAAACTATGCATGCAACACCCAAGAAAAACAAACAAACTCAAAAACAAACTGTTACAACACAAAAAACAGAAGACAATAAAAAGTCCTAGCTGTTCTTCAGACACATCCTTCCCCCACTCGATGCAAACAGCTGCGGATGCTTCTGCTGCTGATGGTGCTGCACCAGCTTTCGCAGCAGCAGTAGCAGCTGCTGCTGCTGCTGCTGGTGTTGCTGCTGCTGCTGCTGCAACAGCAGCAGCAAAGGCTCAAGTTTACCTTTTCTGCTGGTAAAAATACAAGAAAGGTATTTAAAATAAGTATAAAACCGGTTTTATAAAGAAAATTAATATGAATATAAATATAGACAAACCTTTGCTTTGCTGCTGCTGCTGCTGCTGCTGCTATTGCTTTGTTGTGCTGCTGGTCTGTTTCGAGACGCAGAGACAGGGGGATTTTCTAGGGCGTCAGTGAAGGTTTAATTCGTGTAAATGGAGTTTTATTTTATTAAAATATTTGTTTATTTTAAATAAATTAAATTAAAACAAAAAACTAAACAAATTAACAGCTGCTTACATAGAAGAAACATCGGCATACCGGCGGTCCGCACCATCGATAGTGTGCATCTCCGCCCAGCGGCTGCGGTGGTCTTTTGTTGTTTAATTAGTTTAAATTAAAATAAATTAAATTAATTTAATTTAATTTTAATTAAATCAATTTATATTTTTATTCTTTTTTATCGCAGAAGCTCCATAACAATGCAT